AAAAAAAGAAAATACACAGTCAAATAAAGAAAAGGGAAAAATACACATTCAGCAGAGACAAAAAATAAAAAAACAATGATGCATACCTATAGGATCTAGAAAACAGCTTCTTAAGCGCAAATCTAGGAGTTATTGGCCTTAAAGAGGAGATAGAGAAAGAGATAGGAATAGAAAGTTTATTGAAAGGGATAATAACACAGAACTTCCTAAATCTAGAGAAAGATATCTATATCCAAGTACAAGAAAGTTAAAGAACACCAGGTCAATTTAACCCAAAGATTACCTCAAGACATTTAATAATCAAACTCCCAAAGGTCAAGGGTAAAGAAAGGATCCTAAAAGCAGCAAGAGAAAAGAAACAGCTAACATACAATGGAGCTTCAGTACATCTGGCAGCATATTTTTCAGTGGAAACCTTACAAACTAGAAGAGAGTGACATGACATATGTTAAAGTGCTGAAGGGAAAAAACCTTTTACCCTAGAGTAGTATATCCAGCAAAAATATCCTTCAAACATGAAGAATAAATAAAGACTTTCCTGGACAAACTAAAGCTGAGGGATTTCATCAACACTGGACTGGTCCCATAAGAAATGCTTAAGATAGTACTTTGGTCAGAAAGAAAAGGATATTAATGAGCAACAAAAAATCATCTAAAGGTACAAAACTCACTGTTAAGAGTAAGTACACAGAAAAACCCAAAGTATGATAACATTGTAACTGTGGTGTGTAAGTAGAAAGAATAAATAATAAACCAATCAAAAATAATAACTACAACAACTTTTCAAGACATAGTAAAATCAGATAAAGTTAGAAACAACAAAAAATTAAAAAGTGGGGGGATGAAGTTAAGATGTAGAGTTTTTATTAGTTTTCTTTTTGTTTGTTAATGCAAACAATGTTATCATGTTAAAATAATGGGTTATAGAGTAGCGTTTGTAATCTTCATGGTAACCTCAAACTGAAAAAACATACACTGGATACTTAAAAAATAAAAAGCAAAACCCAAATCATATCACCAGAGAAAATTACCTTCCCTAAAGAAAGACAGGAAGAAAAGAAGAAGACCACACAATAACCAGAAAATAAATAAATAACAAGGCAGGAGTAAGTCTTTACTTATCAATAACACATTGAATGGAAATGGACTAAACTCTCCAATCAAAAGACGTAGACTGACTGAATGAATCAAAAAAACAAGACCCATCAATCTGTTGCCTATAAGAAACACACTTCACCTATAAAGACACATATAGACTGAAAGTAAAGGGTTGGAAAAAGATATTCCATGCCAATGGAAACCAGAAAAAAAGAGAAGGAGTAATGATTTTGATACAAAAACATAAGAAGAGACAAAGTCACTATACAATGATAAAGGGGTTAATATGGTTTCCATTTCTGTGTCCCCACCCAAAGTTCATGTTCCACTGTAATCCTCAGTGTTGGAGGTGGGGCCTGCTGGGAGATGACTGGATCATGAGGATGGATCCTTCATGAATAATTCAGCACCATCCTCTTAGTTCTGTTCTCATGATAGTGAGTTCTTCTGAAATCTGGTTGCTTAAAAGTGTGTAGCACCTCCCCACACCACCCACTTGCCTTGGTCCTACTCCTGCTATGTAGATGCTTGCTTCTACTTTGCATTCTTCCATGAGTAAAAGTTCCCTCAGGCCTTCCCAGAATCAGATGCCGCTAGGCTTCCTGTACAGCCTGTGGGACTATGAGCCAATTCAACCTCTTTTCTTCATAAATTAACCAGTCTTGGGTATTTCTTTATAGCAGTGGAAGAACAGAATAATACAGAAAATTGGTACAGAGGAATGAGGCATTGCTAGAAAGATACCTGAAAATATGGAAGCAGCAGTGGAACTGGGTAACAGACAGAGGTTGGAAGAGTGCAGAGGGGTCAGAAGACAGGAAGATGAGGGAAAGTTTGGAATTTCTTAGAGATTTGTTAAATTGTTGTAACCAAAATACTGATAGTGATATGGAAAATGAAGTCCAGGCTAAGGAGGTCTCAGATGGAGATGAGGGACTTATTGGGACCTGGAGTGAAGGTCACTTTCATTATGTGTTAGCAAAGAGGTTGGATACATTGTGCCCCTGCCCTAGGAATCTGTGGAACTCTGAACTTGAGAGTGACAATTTAGGGTATCTGGCAGAAGAAATTTCTAAGCAGCAAAGCATTCAAGAAGTGACCTGGCTGCTTCTGGTAGCCTATGCTAATATTTGTGAGTAAAGATATGACCAGAAACTGGAAGTTATATTTAAAAGGGAAGCAGAATGTAAAAGTTTGGAGAATTTGCAGCCTGGCCATGTTATAGAAAGAAAAACCCATTTTCTAGAGAGGAATTCAAGCTAGCTGCAGAAAACTGCAAGTAACAAGGAGCAAAATGTTGATAGTCAAGAAAAAGGGAAAAACAACTTGAAGGAATTTCAAATACCTCGGGGGCAGCCTCTCCCATCACAGACCCAAAGGCCTAGGAGGGAAGAATGGTTTCCTGGGCCAGGCTCAGGGTCCTGCTGCCCTGCACAGCCTCAGGAAACCGCTCTCCAAATCCCAGCTGCTCAGCTCCAGCTTCAGCTCAAAGGGCCCCACATACAGCTCAGGCTGCTGCTCCAAAGGGTGCAAGCTGTAAGCCTTGGTGGCTCTATGTGGTGTTAAATTAAGCCTGTAGGTGCGCAGGGTACAAAGAATTGAGGCTTGGGAGCTTCCACCTAGATTTCAGAGTATGTGTGGGAAAGCCTGGATGTCCAGGCAGAAGCCAGCTGCAAGGGCAGAGCCCTCTTGGAGAACCTCTACTAGGGCAGTGTGGAGGGGAAATTTGGGGTTGAAGTTCTCACATAGAAATCCCCTCTAGTGTACTGCCTAGTGGAGCTGTGAGAAGAGGGCCATTGTCCTCCGGATCCCAGGATGGTAGATCTGCCAATGACAGCTTGCACTATACACCTGGAAAAGCCACAGGCACTCAATGCCAGCCCGTGAAAACAGCAACAGTGGCTCTACCCTGCAAAGTCCCAGAGGCCGAGCTGCCCAAGGCCTTGGGAGTCCACCCCTTGCACCAATGTGCCCTGGATGTGAGATATGGAGTCAAAGGAGACTATTCTGAAGCTTTAAGATCTAATGACTACCCTTCTGGGTTTCAGACTTGCATGGGTCCTGTAGCCCCTTTCTTTTGGCCAATTTCTCACTTTTGGAAGGGGAGTATTTACCCAACTCCTGTACCCCCAATGTATGTTGGAAGTAACTAACTACATTTTTATTTCATAAGCTCACAGGTGGGAGAGACTTGCCTTGTCTCAGGTGAGACTTTGGACTTTTGAATTAATGCTGAAATGAGTTAAGACTTTGAGGAACTGTTGGGAAGGCATGACTGTATTTTGCAGTATGAGAAGGACATGAGATTTGGGAGACGCCAGAGGTAGAATAATATGGTTTGGATCTGCATCTCCACCAAAATCCCATGTTCAATTGTAA